AAAGATTTCAGGCAGTGGAAACAAAGGCAAAGATATGGCAGCAAGAAATAGGCTGCTACTGATTACTAAGGTTGGGGAAGCCTACAGTGCAGATTTGATGCAGGGGGAGTGGGAGGATCTGAACCCTCTAAGGACACTGGATTTCATTTCACAGATGATGAGAAAAACTAGAAGCATTTTTGTAGGGTGGTGGTGACACCATCAGATACGTGTTTTAGATCCCACGGAGAGAACCTCCACTTCTGGTCGGAGGCTGTTAAACTGCAGGCGAGAATACCGATCGGGGAAATAGTCCACGTGAGAGGCATGGAGGCCTCTGTGGTGGCCGTGGGAAAGAAAGGGAAAAAAAAGAGCTGTGAGGACTCTTTGGGAGGTCCAATAAGTGGGATTTGTTCTCTGATTTAATGTGGAGGGTGAAGGAAAAGGAGTCCAATGAAACAGCAATGTTTCTGCCAGGCGGTACCACCAGCTAAAACCTGGAGCGCAGGGAGGAAGCGGGTGTGTTGGGAGAGGAAGGGGTGGAGGAGAGGGAAGGAGAAGTGGGGTGGGAGCTTTGTCAGATGGTGAATTCTGGTTTGGGAATGTCAGGAATCTGATTTCTTGCCAGACTTCTGAAGACAACTGGTTAGAAGTTGGACATATAGGTATGAAATTCAGCTGTCATATGTGGACTGATGATAGAGACTTTAGGTGCGAATTATAATCATTAAAGGGTATTTTATACTCCAGGGAGAAGTGTGGAGTGAGAAGAGAAAGGAAAAAAGGTTGACTAGAGAATCCTGAGATATGACACTTTCATTTTTATAATTTTTATAGAGTCTCTGCCTTTGTATTATTTATTTAGAATATTTGACAAATAATATAAGGGAAAGCTAATCCATCTGTAAACTAGATGAGTTCAGATAAACAAAATTAACTTGAGATACCAGACAAGCACATATCAGTGTTCAGTAAATATTTTTTGAATGCATGAGGATGAATATTCATTTTGCTCAGTTTTACAGGAAGCACCCTGAGAGGAGGGCAACACCTCTGCTTTAATTTGCGGGAGCATGAATAGCACAAATGAGTGATAGCCACGGTGCTGCATAAGAAGGTTAGAAGAGAGAGGCAGCATGTACTCTAACCATAGCAACGAGATGGGGGCAGCACCATCCAGAAAGCTATAAATCTCTCCTGAAGAATGTTTGCTGCCATGAACCCTTGCAACTAAGCAGCAGCGACATTCCTTTATTCTGAATAGTAGAAGAATGAGTTTGGTGATATGAAGGAAGGGGTGTTATGGCAGTAAAATATGCATTGATTTCTTTATAAGATAAAGAATTAGGCACAGCCACTCTAGACCTTTTGACAAAGACCAAATCCTACTCTTCCTTAGCTTTCTGTACATTCACTCAAATAATCTGCAATGCCTCTGGTGTTCCACAGAGACAGCCATGTTTTGTAACTTAACCTAAGCTGTGATCTGGAATTCACACCAAACCCTACAGTATGAAATAGAACATTTCCATTCACAGGGACTTGATGGTCATGAAAATGTGCAGTGAGCAGCTAGTTCAGCTCCAGAGGCTGTGAAGACCAAAGAGTTGGAGAGATCCATCTGACAGCCTTGCCAGGCAAGATCGGAGCTTTCCAGCCTCTCTAAAACCCAGTCTGGCATCCCACACTCCCACAGCATTTCTGATTTAAAATGGCTTCGTTGCTAGAGGCTGGTAATGCCAAACATCATTTCTGTCCCAGAGCTCAGCTGCGGGATAGAAATGACCCTTTATAAAGAGAGCTGTCTCCTCGGGTACTTCAGACGAGGGAGTGACATAGCGAGGTTCCAATTGCTTTGTGAAACTTGCAAGCACTCCCCCAGGCAGTGTGTGACATGTAAGGTCCATCTTATTTTAACCTTTGGTTGTCTGTGGACCTCTGATTGTCCATGGGATAGTCAGAAGCACAAAGGTAAATGGCATGCAGCTGGAATTTCGGGGGTTGATTACTGAGCATGCTCTAGGCACTGTAGACCATAGAGTTCCGTAGACTCCACTCTGGTTGGACAAAGCCTAGTGGTCATCTAGCACACCCCTTAGGCTGGCAGTTCTTAACCAGGTAACTACTTGTTTTGGTAAAGGCACCGCATTATCAATAAAGTATGAAAGTTTATTAGAGATTTCCATTTTTTCTTTGTTGATTATGACAGATTCAAAATTACCCTACAATAATGTCCCCCACGTGCATGTTCTGACAGGTTTTTTGAGTGCATTCAGAAGAGGTCTTGCCTTATAGTTACTCTAATGGATATTGAACATAGTTTACAACTAATTATCTTTATGTGGTTGTTACAGGAGAAGGGTCCAGATTCAGACCCCAACAGAGAGTTCTTGGATTTTTCCCAGGAAATAATTCAGGGCAAGTCCAGAGAATAAAGTGAAAGCAAGTTTATTAAGAAAGTAAAGGAGTAAAAGAATGGCTACTCCATAGACAGAGCAGCCAAGAGGGCTGCTGGTTGCCCATTTTTATGGTTATTTCTTGATGATATGCTAAACAAGGGGTGGATTATTTGCACCTCCCCTTTTCAGACCATATAGGGTAACTTCCTGATGTTGCCATGGCATTTGTAAACTGTCATGGCGCTGGTGGGAGTGTAGCAGTGAGGATGACCAGAGGTCACTCTCATTGCCCTCTCGTCACCATCTTGGTTTGGGTGATTTGGGCTGGCTCCTTTACTGCAACCTGTTTTATCAGCAGAGTCTTTATGACATGTATTTTGTGCTGGTCTCCTATCTCATCCTGTGACTTACAATGCTTTAATCATCTGGGAATGCAGCCCAGTGGGTTTCAGCCTCATTTTACCCAGCTCCTATTCAAGATGGAGTTGCTCTGGTTCACATGCCTTTGACATGGTCTGTTAGCAATGTGTGGAGCATTTAAACTTCATCCATTTTGTGTTGCATCGGAATGTTTGAGAGACTAAACTTAAACCCACTTCAACATCTCAGTGTGTGCTTGGATGCTTCCAGCAGTGGGGAAGTCAGTCTCTTCCCAGACGGCTCATTCTGTCATTAGATATCTCTCATGGTCCAGCTGTTTTCAGGTCCTATTGGAACTGGTTTTGTCCATTTGGGATATGTAGAGTAATTCCAAGTCTACTCCTAGGTGATAGTCTTCAGTATCTTACGAGGCGAATTTCTTGTCTCACTTTGAGTATTTTGCCAGGCATAAATCTGCCTGTTCCATGGAATGTTCTTCACGTGCTGACCTAGTTTTACATTCCCACCTACCCTGTCTGCAGGTCAGTTTGGCAACATCTCTCTTGGTGAGTATTGTCCAGAAGTGAACATTCTACTTTCCACAATTCTGTAATTTCTCATCTTACTCAAGTAAGGGAGGACAAATACCCTCTTTCCTAAGAAACAGTTTGAATCCTGACTATAAAAAATGCAATAATTCTGTGATTTCACTTCTGAATAAGAGAAGCATTAATGGGAAGCTGAAACCTCCCACCTGCAACCTTTCATACTCACCTCTCAGGGATGCATTCCCAGCCCATCTTCTTCCCTTTCACCCTTGCTTACCCGTTCTCCTCCAGGCCAGAACTACTGGCCCAGGGGCTTCGGCCAGATGATGTCTAAGTTATGTTCAATCAAAAGCTCAGAGTAAAACTAGCTGGGTGTGGTGGTATACACCTGTAGTCCCAACTACTCAGGAAGCTGAGGTGAGAGGATGGCTTAAGCCCAGGAAGTGGAGGTTGCAGCATGCTGTTATTGCATCACCGCACTCAGCCTGGCAACAGAGCAACAAGACCCTGTCTCAAAGAAAAAAAAAAAGGAGAAATAATCAACTTCACCTGACATTTGTAGACTACTTCACTCAACAACAGCAGAACATACATTATTTTTAAGCACACATGGAATATCATTCAAAATAGGTAGTATTCTAGGCCGTGGGTTAGTAAATTGCAGCCCAAGGGCCAGTTGCCTAGTTTCTTTAAACCATTTTTAAGTGTTCAATTGAGTGGCATTAATTATATTCATAATGTTGTGCAACCTGTTACCACTATCTATACCCAACCTTTTCATCACTTCCATTGTAAATCCATTAAACGACATATATTCCCAATGCAAATCCATTAAACAATAACATCCCATTCCAGACTCTCTCCAGCCCCTCTACTTTGTGTCTCTGAGTGTCTATTCTAGATATTTCATATAAGTGAAATTATATAATATTCATCCTTTTATTGCCGGCTGATTTCACTTAGCATAATGTTTTCCGTGTTCAATCCATATTGTAACATATGTTAAAGCTTCATTACATCTTAGGGCTGAAAAATATTCCATTGTAAGTATATATTGACAGACATTTCAGTTGTTTTCACCTTTTGGGTATTGCGAAAAATAGTCCTCTAGCCTTGGCCTCCCAAAGTGCTGGGATCACAGGCATGTGCCTCCATGCCCAGCCTTCACAGTGTATTTTCTCCAGAAGTTTATTACACACAGTCTTTGGTCCAAAGAGAGCAACAGAATTCCTTGGGATTGTTTGTGTCACAATAATGGATCACTTCTTAGAGTTGCTCAAATGATAGAATTAGATTAGTGTGCACATATCCTAAATCAATCCTCATTCTCAGGGGATAATATTTCTCTAGCAAGTAAGACTTTGCCCAGGAAAAAAGCCCAGGCTATCACAGGAGCCAGTGGTCTCCTAAGACATGCTTTTGAGCACATGGCCTTCATGGCCTTCTGTGCCTGAAACTCAACTAAATCTGTGGAATCCCAGTGTGCCAATAGTATTCGTTCATTAAATATCCATTAAATATAAGTGACCACCAACTGTGTGCCTGGAAGTATCTGGCAATGGAGATTCAGCAGTAAACAAAATAAACAAGACTTTTAAAATAAAAAAAAATAATAAAATAAATAAATTAAAAAAAAAAAAAAAAAAGCTCAGAGTATCTTTAAAGCCAGAGGTTAGAGCTTACGTTTAAACTCCAGAAAGTATGAACCTCTTGATTACAAGGTTCACTTGTGGTAACATACAGTTTTTCTCAAATGGGGGAGGTGCTACCTCCCTCAGGGGACTTTTTGAAAGGATGTGCGAACATCTTAGTTGTCACAATGCTGGGAAGCAAGTGTCACTGGTATTAGAGCCATGAGTGTAGTGAAATGTTTGTAATGCTTGAGACAGTCCCACACAAGGCAGAATTGTCCCACTCCAGATTTCAGCAGTGCCCTAGGCATTTCCCCTGTTAATAATTAATTGCTATTATAATTAAGTGCTAATAATTATTATCAGGAAAGCACTCATGGGAGGAGCATAGGACTGAGAGAGAAGACCAGGCTCTTACTGGTGTCATTTTCCCCACTTGTAAAATGGGTGGAAACACAAAGCTGGTGTGAGGACTAAGCGTCAAGCATTTTATCAGATTGATTTTTTTTCTTTTTTCTTTTGAGACAAATTCTATTAGGTTGCTGCCAAAGTAATTGCAGTTTTGGCAATTAAGAATATTTGCAAAACCTGCAATTACTTTTGCACCAAGCTAACAGCTCTGTCTCCCAGGCAGGAGTGCAGTGGCATGATTATAGCTCATTGTAACCTCACACTACTGGGCTCAAGCGATCCTCCCACCTCCACCTCCTGAATAACTGGGACTACACGTGCCTGCCACCACACTTGACTAATTTAAAAAGTATATTTTATAGAGACAGGGTCTTGCTGTGTTGCCCAGGCTAGTCTCAAACTCTTGGGCTTAAGAGATCCTCCTGCCTTGGCCTCCCAAAGCACTGGGATTATGGGCGTGAGCCACTGCCCCTGACCAGTTACCAGATTGTTTTTATGACACTTTACTACACAGCTTATGCATTTTGGGTGGGCCTGACCCCACACCGGCTTTGGAGCTGGGTGAGGTAGGGTGACATGGCCTAGGGTTACAGTCCTCTAATTCTATTCCCATGGCTCATTGGTTGGCTCATGATCATCATCCAGGCCAAGGGTAATTAGGCCTTGGTCTTTTGTTAAAAGCTATAGAAGAGAAGCCCTATTTTCAGGTCAATTTCGGCCTTGGAAACTGTGAGCCTGAAGCTGTGAGTGGCTGCCATGTGGGGCCTGAGAGTGATGTCGGCCAAGCCAAGGCAAAGTCAAGAGATTAGAGAAGTGGCTGGTGGACATTATTCAAGCTGCTGGACAAAGCTAAACCTGGGCTTTAAAGATACTCCTGGTTATTTTTGTCAGACACATTCGAACCAGACACCCCTTTCTGGTAACATTTAAATTAGGTGAGAAGAACATTTCCTTTGTTAGTTAAGCCAGAGTGAGTCTTTTACAACCAAAACAACCTTGACTTACCTGGTTTTCGTCTCTCTGCCTTGAATTAAGGTTGCCTGTATCTCTTCCACTTGACTCCAAGCTCCTTGAAGACAGTCACTTTTGAATTCTCCCAGCCTTCCTAACACTAGATGTTAAGTGTAGTATAAATAAGCACCCTCAAATATTTGATACATGAGTAAGATGAATTAAAATGATATATATGAATTTTGTTGACTGTCAATTACCTTACAAATATAGCTGCCAAAGTTCTCATGAATATTTTCTCCCGAAATCTTTGTCTTGTGTGACGTTCTGAGCAGTAAGATTAGTATGTAAGCAAAGGCATCACTCAGCCAGTTTGGTTTGCACATTTGTCCCCATTCCAGCTTTGTACTGAAGCAATCTGTCCCTGCTATTGTGAGCCTAATAGTCTCCCTCATTAGACTGACTTTCTGCAATGAAAAGACCTTTTCTGTTCTGTCCCTGTGTCCTCATGCAGGTAGTAGGTGCTTAGTTGTTTGCCTCCCCACTTCTCAGCTCTCTCAAAAGCAGCCCTTTGTTGCTCTGGGTTTCTGAGGCTAGATGAATTGCCAAGAAAGGGTATCCCTGTGGTCTAACGGGCCTCCTCGGGGACTTAAAGCATGTCTTTAATTTTCTTTCATTCAGAAGACAATGGGAGTATCTACTGTATCGCTGGCATTGTCTCTGGGGATTTATGCTCTTGTGAGCTTAAAAATATATAGGCAATTATGCATCTGGTAAGCATCTGGATGGGGGAAATGTGGGGTGTTCCTAGGAAGTAAACAGGAAGTTCCCAGACTGCGGAGAATCAGGGAAATCTTTCTGGGAGAAGTGGCATCAAAGCTGAGGCCACGCACAAGTAGTGAGTAGGAATTAGCCATGCAGTGAGCAGGGCAGAGGTCCCGGTGAAAGGGAATGGCAAGGGTCAGTGAGTCAGTGGTGCCAGCAAGCAGGTGTGTTTGGGGAACTGGGCATGGCATGGACTGGCAGCAGCATGCTTGTAGGTATGGGGCCACTTCAAGAGCTTTGCTTCTGTTCCCTCTTGATCAGGGTCTCCTTTCCGTAGTCACATGAGGCTGTGCCCTTCTTTGCTTTATTTGGTAATTTTCTTGGCTATCCTATTAACTTCAAAGATATCAAGATGTGAGGCCATGACGTGCCCAGCTCAGCTTGGCCAAGGGCCTGATTGGTGTCCTTCCTTTCATCCTCTTTGAAATTCAGTGACTGACTTCTCTGGAGGCATTCCAAGCCTTGGGCTGAGCATAGACTAGCCTACCTACCTCAGGATTGGGTCCCTGGCGATTGCAGCCACCTCAGAGATGATTCAGGGTGTTTTAGTGAAAAAGATAGCAAGGACTTAGGGGAAGTAAGGTCTGGCAATGGGAGGGCTAGTGATAAAAAGTAGCATTGGGCCAGGATTAAGGGGAGGCTAGACCTGCCTCTGGCTGATTTACTCGGTGACAGATTCTCCTCTCCACACTGGAAAACTCTGGAAACCTTATGAGAGCATGAGTTAGTTGGGAAGGGGCCTGGCAGCCCAGGGACTTATATAATTTATGTTCCTCCAGTGACAGGCATTGAAACAGAGCCTTGCCGCAACATGCAGTGACTACTCTTGGCTCTTCGATGACAATTCTTTCCCTCTCCTCCACTTGGGGGTGCCATTCCTGAGACCTGTTTGGGCTGAAACTGAGGGCCTATGGTCATGCCTTTACATCTTTCTACCAGGATCTTCCTCATGGCAGAGGACTCTGGAGAGAACACTGAGGGTCTGGGAGCAAAGCCAGAAGAAGTAGCTTTCCATCAGTGTGAGTTTCTCAAAATTTTACATTTTTTTCTTTAAATTTTATGCAAGTTTGTATTCCCCCGCAATGCATTCATGTGTACTTCAATTAAAAAAAAAAACCAGTGTTTTAAATTATTTACCATTGAATAAATTCAACACTTAAGAGGATGTGCTGTGTTTAACCATGAGACCTCTTGTGATCCAGGCATGTTGTCTTGTATATAATCCCCACTTCGAGAAATAGAGGCTTTTAGATTATATAGATCTGGGTTACTAGACATGTAACCTTGAAAGGATCACATTGCTTTTCCAAACCTCAGTTTTTTTTATCTCAAATATGAGACCAGTGAAACCTACATGTCGGTGTTAGTGTGAGGATTAAGTAAAATAAGACGTATGAAGTGGCTGACCCTTAGTAGGTTTCCAAGAGATGTGAACACTTCTGCTCTTAGTAAAAAGAGCTCTGTCTGCTTTGCATTTCCAGAATATCGTGATTCTGCCTCAGCTGACTGAGAAGGTGATCCCATGGGACATTTGCTACCAGAGGGGCTTTGAGGAAAAACACTATATGTCACTACCAGATGACAGAGCTGATGACATTAGCAGTAGAAAATGAACTTTGTGGAGTGGAGAGATATCACATGGTTCTAGGGCTTATGATACTCTGTTTTTCCATTTCTAGGTCTTTCAAAAATGTGAGAATTAGCAACTGGGTGATGTTCATAGTGTCCCATCTACTGCCTGAGGTCCCTGTCATGCAGCGGCTGCAGGTGAGTCACTGGCTGAGAGAGAAAGTGAGAGCAGCTTTCTGTGCTGGGTTGCCTGACAGCCACTCCCTGCTCAGGGCTCGCCTTGCAGTCCTGTGGCTGAACAAGATGCAAGCATGGTCACTACTAGACTGGTGAGCATATCTCAGGCCTATGATAGCAGTCTCAGGAAATTTACTTCTAAATTCCAAAAATGATCAGTGGGGGGCCCAGATCAGTATTAAAGAGGAAATGTTACCTATGATTCTAAGCATTAGTATAGAGATTGAGACCATCCAGGTCAACATGGTGAAACCCCGTCTCTACTAAAAATACAAAAAATTAGCTGGGCATGGTGGCGCGTGCCTGTAATCCCAGCTACTCGGGAGGCTGAGGCAGGAGAATTGCCTGAGCCCAGGAGGCGGAGGTTGCGGTGAGCCGAGATTGCGCCATTGCACTCCAGCCTGGGTAACAAGAGCGAAACTCCGTCTCAAAAAAAAAAAAAAAACCTCTAAACTTTAATTCTGAATATTCAACCACTTCCTCGGGAAAAAAGCCTTTATAATCAAATGACAGCTATTTCTCTGGCTCACCACGCTCAGAGTCCAGTGGGAGCTAGAGGGTAGGCAAACACAAAAGGAGGAAGGTGACAAAAACCCAATGTGGGGACGTGTACAGGGTCACAGGCGAGGGAGCGGTGTTGTCTGGAGGCGTCAGAGAAGCTCGACAGCAGAGGTGATGTCTGAGCTTGAGATTCAGATTCAGGAGACAGGGGTGGGCTTTGGCATGAATGATTTAAAAACAAACCGCCTCCAGTGATTCTGATGCACAGTCAGCTTGAATATTCTGGGAGGTTTTTGTGCTTCTGTTTAGCAGTATTTCCCCTCTGGGCTGTGAGCCCTGCTCAGTGGCAGGGTTTCCCCTGTGTCAGCCCAGCATCTTTTCTGCAGTCATCTGGGACCTGACCCCAAGTCCAGGTCTCCTCCTTCTCCCAGGGCACCTGTCCCTCTGGGATGAGGAAACTGACACTGTAGAATCTGTCGGATTCAATGTCATGTGTTCTAAAAGTTAAAGACTCAATGAATACAGATATCTATAGTTTCACTGCCTCGGTGCCCTGCTCTCATCCTTCTTCTGAAGGAATGCTATGACTCCTTTTCTTTCTAAATGTGTATCTGAATCTCTATTCAGATATATGTTTTGTCTTTATTTGCTGTTATTTCCCTGGCTTTCATAATATACCCTTGAGTCACGTTTCAAATGCGGTGTCTAAGTTTGTTTATTTGTGAATATAAAGGCCTCAACCCTGTGGATCTGAAAACAATTTCTGGGAAGGAGACAGTGAGTGGATTTGAGAGAGAACCCAGAAAACTGGTGTGTTCACACCTGAACTGAGGTGAGGCAGCCACCCGACTTCAGGCTGATCCGTCTCTCACGTCTTTAGGCGCACGGTTGAAGTGTGTGAAAAGCCATGTGTCAGCAATTTCTGAATCCGTAGTCTCATTTCTATCATGACTGCTCTGCTTCTAAGTAGGAACCGCACAGCATTTGATGGATGAACCAATGGGGGAATAAATGAAATGCAGTGTAACCCTGAATGGCTGTACTTTAGTCTGTGCCAGGGAAGGTATTAAGCCCACCTCTGGATAAAAGAGACAGCTGTGGGAGGCTGATGTCAACATCAGACAGCAGCAGGAGCTTTTCTCCCTTGCCCCTGGAGGACAGGTGCTCTAGGTGGAGAAGAGAGAAAGAGGGGACATTCCAGGGGAGCACATGTAGTTTGCCTCCTCTGAGAGGCAGGGTGGGCTCTATGCCAGCTGACCTCAGTGAAACAAGTGGACAGAGTACCTGGAGGAGGAGGAGCCATGTGTTGTTCTTGAAAAGGACCCACCCTGGAATGGTTGGCCGAGCTCCTCGCAGGCTGGAGAGCTGGGTGCCAGTGTCCCTCCAGGCAGAAGCCCAGGAAGGTGCCCTTCCTCTTCACGCGCCCTGAGCATTGCTGACCCAGCCCAGTCTGACACCAGTGTCTATGGTGTGTGCACGTCCACCCATACTGTGTAGACCCAACTTCTTGTTTGCATGTGGTTGTTTTAAATCCTGCGCCGTGGTTTGGGAAAAGAGGCACTGGGTTTCATTGCAGTAGGCTGGCTGGTCACCTGGTACATGGCTGCAGGGGAGAGCATGAGCAATTAATTGGATAAGTAAGAATGGTGATTATACCTACACCTCAAGTGGGCTGAATGGTTCGAATCTGATACTTTTGCTTGTGTATCAGAACATTCTCTCCCTTTTGGTATGTTTACTTGGGAAGATGAATGATATAGAGGCAGTTACTTGGTAAGCTCAAGACTAGAACAAGGGGACTCATCTATATGAGCCCTTAATGGCTGCTGTCACCAAGTTCTCGTTTCGGGGTTTGCCTGCCTTACTGGTCGTATATTCAGGTGCACAAATTGGGGTACCCTCTCCCCTGGACATGGTGGGAGCTGCCGCCCACTCTTCTCTTGCTGAACTTCCATCTCTTAATGCTGCTGGCACTCTCCATTTCTAGCAATACCTGCATTTTTGGACTTAATTTAAGGATTTAATTCAATTACTTAGGCATCTGAGTTTCCTGGTTGCAATCCTGACGTTATGACCAGGTCCCTTTGATTGGAGTTTGGCTGATCCTAGACAGTGTTTTGTGCCGTTTTCACTGATGATCTTACCCCTTTCCACATCTGAGTTTTGAGGAAACTTACAGATAACACGCCGCACCACCCATGCCCTGACTATCAGGCACCTCTTCTGTGCCACTGGAGCCTTCTTAGCCCCATCTGTCTAGGACCTTTGCCCATCTGTTCTGCGCGAGCTGCTAATTGGTGACCAATTTTGTGTAAGCCACAACTGGTCTCAGGTGGTCACAACCCGGCAGTGCCCATGCCTAGGAAGGTGGTGTTTCCTTGTTCATCCCAAGGCATGTGACACCAGGGACCTGCTTGGAGACCATACAAACATGCCAGGAAATATACAGTGTTAATGTCCTGTGAAGAAACCTTGACTACAGGGAGATAAGAGCAGATAGATACATTCTGTTCACTTCTACCCTCTCTACAAACTGACCTGAGATGCGTGTGAACTCACAGCCTTTCGGAATCAGTCTGCAAGATGGAACAATCAGTGGCAAGTGATCCTGAGCGGGCACAGCTTAGTAATGCACTGTGAGGTTTGCTCTCGCTCCTGCTTCCCTGCGATAAGCTCTGTAGTTTAGTGCTAGCACGTTAGCTTTTTCCTCAGGCTCTGTTTTCTGAGGAACCCATGCTAAGACACCCAGTCTTAAGCACGCTTACCACATCTAAGTATATGCATTTGTTATCTATTGCTGTGTCACAAATTATCCCAAAATTTAGTGACTTAAAGCAATAAACATTTGTTATTTCAGTTTCTATGGGTCAAGATGTAAGGAGCAGCTTAGCTGGGAGGTTCTGGCTCAGGGAGTCTCCTGCGGTTGCAGTCAGCTACCAGCAGGGCTGCCATCATCTGGAGGCTTGGCTGGGGCTGGACAATCTGCTTTGGAGATGCTCACTCACATATTGTTGGCAGGAGGCCTCAGTTCCTTCCCATGTGGGCTCTCCATAGGCTGTTTGAGTGTTCCCACAATCTGGCAGTTGTGAGTCACTTTACCCAGAGCGAGCAATTCAGGAGAGAGCAAGAGAGGTTGCAGCACCACTTCTTACCTTGCGTGCTATCACAGAACCTTTTTCTCAATTCATTAGAAGCAAGTAGCTGTTCCCACCCATGCTCAAAGGGAGGGGAATTAGACTCCGCCTCTTGAAGGGAGGAGTTTCAAAAATTTGTCAACATATTTTAAAACTAGCACAATGTGTAAAAGGAATTCCTGCCTGGCTCAATAAAGCACAATTTCCTGATGTACCAAATGTAAAGCCAAGTGCTTTCATAGAAGCAGTAATCTGGGTGCGAGTGCAGAAGCAGTTGACAAGAAAGTGATGGTTTTAGAAGGCTTTAATTATTACAGGAGTAGAGAGAAGAGTATTTGTGCCTTTGAGGTCAGGGCAGATTTGATAGAGGGCTGGCATTTCAACCAGCTGCTCACTGATTCTGCTGCAGAACCCAGGCTGAGAACTGTACGAATACAATAAGACTTCAGTAATAGGATCCATTCATTTTCATTTCTGGAATTCATGAGAGGCTTCATGGATGAGATGATATTTGAGCTGAGCTTTAAAAATGAGCAGAATTTTGATAGAGTACATCTCTGACTGAGGGAAGAAGTATAAGCAGAGATACTCAGTGGTAAGATATTGTTATAATAATCATTATTTTCTACGCATAGGAAGAGTATGCAGCTAACATATTTGAGCTGCATTTTCCTGTGCTACACAACGTGGAAAACTATGGCATTTGTTGTTCTGGTCTGCACCCCCACCTGTCCCATTCTTCAAGTAGTCCCAGCCCACTTCCTTTGGAGTGAGACACCTCTTCCATGCAACATTGCAAGATCAAGTACCCGGCCCCTCCTGGACATCGATCAGGTGGGCACGTGGCTCAAGACAAGCCAATCAGGCACTCCCCTGGGATTTTGTTTATGGATGCTGAAAGCAAGAAGCTCTCTCTTTCTTCTGGACCTAAGCTGGGATTATGCACATCTATAGCTGCCTGCCTGTGGCTGCACCTTCTGCACAAATAAAGCCAATTTGCATTGGAAGAAAATGAGTTCCATGCATTAACAGCACTAGATGAGCAAGAGAGAGGCGATGGTTCCATTTGAGCTCCCAGCACCAGCTTTATCTTTGGACATCCTAGTTGTATAAGCCAGTAAATTTCCTTTCTTACCTAAGCCACATAAAAAGTTCTGAATGGTACCTATTACTCTTAATGGTGAGAGACTGGTCCATGTTAACGCCTACTGTCGACCAAGCACATATAACTATACAATTATAAAGTAACTGTTTTTGTCTTTCACTGTCCCTTTAATCCAGACCCTGGGACTAACTTTCCCCTGCCACTAGCTGAAAAATCAGGCA